CACAGCCCCAGGGCCCCCCAAGGCCCCCCCAGGAGGACTCACTGACAATCTTGTCGACGGAGTCGTGGTCGTCGAAGGTGACGAAGGCGAAGCCGCGCTTTTTGCCGCTGCCGCGGTCGGTCATGATCTCGATGACCTCGATCTTGCCGTACTGCCCGAAATAGTCCCGCAGGTGATGCTCCTCCGTGTCCTCCTTGATGCCCCCCACGAAGATCTTCTTCACCGTCAGGTGGGCGCCGGGCCGCTGGGAGTCCTGGGAGGGGGCAAAAATCAGGGAACGGGGCGGGGGGGAAACGGATACGGGAGCGCCGAGGACACCCCGGAACCGCGGGGGGCACCGGGGCTTTGGGAGGTGTCACCCAGTGCCACTGGGATTTTAGTGACCTCGGGATTTTAGGGACCCCCTGGACGTGTCTACAAGGGCCACAGGGATTTTGGTGACCTCGGGATTTTAGGGATGTCCTGGACGTGTCCCCAAGGGCCACCGGTATTTTGGTGACCTCGGGATTTTAGGGATGTCCTGGACGTGTCCCCAAGGGCCACCGGTATTTTGGTGACCTCGGGATTTTAGGGAGGTCCTGGAGGTGTCCCCAAGGGCCACAGGGATTTTGGGGACCCCAGGGAACACCAAGGTTTTGGTGACCTGAGATTTTTGGTGGCCTCAGAATTTTTGGGACCCCCTGGAGACATCCCCAAGGGCCACAGGGATTTTGGTGGCCTCAGAATTGTAGGGACGTCCTGGATATGTCCCCAAGAGCCACCACTGTTTTGGTGACCTCAGGATTTTAGGGACCCCCTGGATGTGTCCCCAAGGGCCACAGGGATTTTGGTGACCCCTCAGAGGTGTCCCCAAGAGCCTCCCTCCATTGGGGTCTGAGCCCCTCCAGAGCCCCCAGTAGCTCTCAGTGTCCCTCTCCACTGGGGTCCCACACTCCTCCCTAAGCTCCCAGCCCCCTGTACCTCTCTGAGCCCCCCCCCAGGGGTCTGAGCCCCCCCCGGAGTCCCCAGCCCCCTGTGCCTCTCTGAGCACCCCCCATGGGATCTGGGCCCCCCCAGCCCCTCACGTCTCAGCTTTCCCCCCCATCTCAGGGTCCCACACTCCCCCCACCCCCCAGCCCTTCTCTGGGTCCCTCTATTGGGATCTGAGCCCCCCCCTCAAGGGGTCTGGGTCCCCCCAGCCCCTCACCTCTCCGTGTGCCCTTCCACCCCAGGGTCCTCCACTCCCCCCACCCCCCTGTACCTCCCAGTGCCCCACACTCCCCTCCCAGAGCCCCCAGCCCCTCTCTGAGTTTCCCCCCAGGGGTCTGGGCCCCCTCCAGCCCCTCACCTCTCTGGACACGGCCCTCTTGGGCTCCACGACCCTCCCGTCCACCTTGTGCGGCCGCGCGTTCATGGCGGCGTCCACCTCCTCCACCGAGGAGTACGTGACGAACCCGAACCCCCGCGAGCGCTTCGTGTTGGGGTCCCGCATCACCTGGGACAGGGACAGGACAGGGACAGGGAGAGTGAGGGGACAGGGACAGTGAGGGCACAGGGACAGTGTTGACCTCCTCCACCGAGGAGTACGTGACAAACCCGAACCCCCGCGAGCGCTTCGTGTTGGGGTCCCGCATCACCTGGGACAGGGACAGGACAGGGACAGGGCCAGTCAAGGTACAGGGATAGTCAGGGACAGGGACAGTCAGGACACAGGGACAGTCAGTACACAGGACAGAGATGGGGACAATGAGGAGATAGGACAGGCACAGTGAGGGCACAGGGACAGTGAGGGCACAGGGACAGTCAGGGACAGTGTTGACCTCCTCCACCGAGGAGTACGTGACAAACCCGATCCCCCACGAGCGCTTCGTGTTGGGGTCCCACGTCACCTGGGACAGGGACAGGACAGGGACAGGGAGAGTGAGGGGACAGGGACAGTCAGGGCACAGGGACAGTCAGGGCACAGGGACAGGCAGGGGACAGTGTTGACCTCCTCCACTGAGGAGTACGTGACGAACCCGAACCCCCACGAGCGCTTCGTGTTGGGGTCCCACATCACCTGGGACAGGGACAGGACAGGGACAGGGACAGTCAGGGCACAGGGACAGTCAGGACACAGGACAGAGATGGGGACAATGAGGAGATAGGACAGGCACAGTGAGGGCACAGGGACAGTGAGGGTACAGGGACAGTCAAGGACAGTGTTGACCTCCTCCACCGAGGAGTACGTGACAAACCCGATCCCCCGCGAGCGCTTCGTGTTGGGGTCCCACGTCACCTGGGACAGGGACAGGACAGGGACAGGGACAATTAAGGAACAGGACAGGGACAATCAGGGGACGGCACAAGGACAGGACAGGGATAGTCACGGGACAGAGGACAGGACAGGAACACGATAAAACCCTGCGAGCGCTTCGTGTTCGGATCCTGCATCACCTGGGGGACACCACGGCTGGGGACAGGACAGGGGACAGGGACAGCCAGGGGACAGGGAACAAGGACAGGTAGGGATAGTCAGAGGACA